AAGACATGGTGTCCGAAAAGATCTTTTTAATACTGATGTCAAAGAGTGTACTGCCTACATTTTCTTCTAGAAACCTTATGGTTTCAGGTCTTATCTTTAGGTCTTTGATCCATGTTGAGTATATTATTTTGGTGAATGGTGAAAAAGAATAGTCAATTTTCATTCTTTTACATGTGCCTTTCCAGTTTTCCCAGCACCATTTGTTGAAAAGACTTTCTTTTCTCCATTGTAGGCCCTCAGCTCCTTTGTCAAAGATTAGCTGTCCATAGATGTGTGGTTTTATTTCTGGACTTTCAAGTCTGTTCCATTGATCTGTGCACCTGTTTTTGTACCAGTACACCATGCTGTTTTGATTACTGTAGCTTTGTAGTATGTTTTCACTCAGGGGTTGTGATGCCTCGAGCTTTGTTCTTTTTTCTCAGGATTGCTTTAGCATTTGGGGTCTTTTGTTGCCCCATGTGAATTTTAGGATTCTTTGTTCTATTTCTGTAAAGAATGTCATTGGAATTCTGATTGGGATTGCGTTGAATCTGTAGATTGCTTTAGGTAGTACAGACATTTTAACTATGTTTATTCTTCCAATCCATGTGCATGGAATGTCTTTCCATCTCTTTATGTCGTCATCCATTTCTTTCAGGAAAGTCTTGTAGTTATCGTTGTATAGGTCTTTCACTTCCTTAGTTAAATTCATCCCAAGGTATTTTATTCTTTTTGTTGTGATTGTGAACGGTATTGTGTTCTTGAGTTCTTTTTCTTCCCATATTTTTTGATGTATGTTTAAAACTTTCTACAGACACAGATATTTTAAATTCATAATGGGAAAATGGTTTTGGACAGTTTTAGAAAGGAAGACAGAGCAGTAAACATTTTTTTCAAAGTAGGAACTAGCAAAAAACCAAATGATGCTGCATTTTATCTTAGGGGTAGCGATAAGGTCCTTTTCTTCAATAAAAGGTTGAATCTTTTAAGACATTGTTTAGAAAATTAGCAACAAGTTGCTTTTTAAATGTGAGAAGTGTAACTCTTGCCTTATAAAATCAGTTTCTAAAGAATTACGAAATATACTTTGTTTATATAGCTTGCATTATTTCATTCATTCATTCACTCATCTATTCATTCATTTACTTACTAAACATTTGCCTTCCTGACCCCCTAACATGGCACTGAGCTGGTCACTGAGGGTGCCAGGAAGAATCAGGAGGATCCCTCACCTTCTAGGGGCTCTTGTTGGAGTGGGGAAAATGGATGTGGCAGAGAGTACTCAGCTAATATTCCAATGCCGTCTCATGTTTCCCAGCCTCCACTGCAGTTCACTTGGGGCCATGTGACAAGTTCTGTCCAGTGAACTTGCCTAAGGCAGTTAGGAACTGGTGCGACTCCTCCAACTCTCTCTACTCCTGCAGCAATGACCTTGGAGGTCACATGTGCTAGATGACACAGCTACAAGATGGACAAGGCCACCTGACTGCATTAGATCTTGCATGAATGAGAGAAAAAACTTTCATTGTGTTAAGGTATTCCCGCTCCTTTTTTTATTATTGTGGTAAAATAGACATAACATCAAATTTATCATTTTAATTATTTTTTTTAAAGATTTTATTTTTCTTTTTTCTCCCCAAAGCCCCTATAGTTTATAGTATAGACTGTACATAGTTGTATAGTTTAGTTGCGGGTCCTTCTAGTTGTGGCATGTGGGACACCACCTCAGCATGGCTTGATGAGAGGTGCCCTGTCCACGCCCAGGATCCAAACCAGCAAAACCCCCGGCTGCCGAAGTGGAGTGTGTGAACCCAACCACTGGGCCACGGGGCCAGCCCCCATTTTAACTATTTTAAGCATGCAATTCTGTGGCATTAAGTACATTCACAATGTATACCCGTTTTTTTTTTTTTAATGAATAACCAGACAGGTGCTCATTTGAAACTTTGTGAATATCCTGTTCCCCAACAATCTTTTAGTTTCTAATGATGATTCTTCCTGGATGCTATTATTATCACATCCTTTTAATATGGTAAATTTATGAGGTTGGTCTTGTTAATACAGTCATGTGCTGCATAATGACATTTTGGTTAACACTGGACTGCATGTAGGACGGTGGTCCCATAACATTAGTACCAGACAGCCTACGTTGTAGTAGGCTCTACCATCTAGATTTGTGTAAGTGCTGTAGGGGAGGAAGTCATTTTCCTCCACCCTTTAGGTTCTTCTGGCTAGTCTAAGAATTAAATTGACATGAGACCTTAACAGGAGAAAGACAAACAAAAGTTTAATTACGTGTACATGAGAGAAACCCAGGAAAACCTAGTAACTTGTCAAAATGGTTGAAGCCCTCACCTTGAATACCCTCCTCAGCCAAAGACAAAAGATGTTGGGGGTGGCGAGAATCAGAGACTTCAGAGGAAAGGAAGGCAATTCACAGGTTGGTGAAAGGGAGCCAGTGTCTGGCCACACAGAAACAGAAGTGCACAGAGGGGAACTCAGCCAACAGGCTTTTCTAGGTTCCTCCCTGCCTACCACCTAGGTCATGTGATGCTAAGGTGCTAGCTCACTTCCCGAGACAGGTTTTTTTATCTGAATTCTTTTAGGCAGTTAAGAGGTAGATAACAAGAAAAACTCTGAATCTTTTTGTTTCTTAAAAATAATCAGCCTAAAATAATCCTCATGTTAAAGAGACACATTTTGGGGTGGCAAATTTTGTTCCCCTTCAGTATACTCTCTGATGTTTGCACAACGAGGAAATCACCTAGGATGTGTGTCTTAGAACTCGTCCCCATTGTTAAGCGATGCATGAATGTATTCCCTTTTACAGATGAGGAAATTGGGGCAGAGAGGTTAAGTAGTTGCCCAATTTAAGTAACTCATTTGCTGGAGCTGGATGTTGAACCATATCTGACTCAAATGTTCAAAGCATGCTTCATAGTAGGGGTTGGCACACTATGGCCTGTGGGCCGCATCTGCCACCTCTTTTTGTAAGAAGCTTTGATTGGGACAGAGCCATGCCCATTCATTTACGTATTGTCTGTGGCTGCTTTCACGCTCAAGTGCCCAAGTTGAGTAGTTGTGACAGAGACCATAGAAGCCTGAAAAACCTAAAATATTTACTGTCCCTGGCCCTTTACAGAAAAAGTTTGCTGACCCCTGTTTTATAGAATTGGTGTTTAAATTATTTATTTTTATTAAAGTAACATATGCACATATTTGATAATGAAGTCATGCTAAGAGCTTTATTTTGCAAAAGGAGATCCTTCTGCACTGTCCTCCACCCCAGTACCCCACCTTAGAGACAGATATGTCTCATTCTTTCACCTCTCTCTCCTGGCATTTACAGTTAAATTCTAAATAATAGCCTTGGGGCCGGCCCGGTGGCGCAGTGGTTAAGTGTGCATGTTCCGCTTCTCGGTGGCCCAGGGTTCACCGGTTTGGATCCTGGGTGTGGACATGGCACTGCTTGGCAAGCCATGCTGTGGTAGGTGTCCCACATATAAAGTAGAGGAAGATGGGCACGGATGTTAGCTCAGGGCCAGTCTTCCTCAGCAAAAGGAGGAGGACTTGCCGCAGATGTTAGCTCAGGGTTAACCTTCCTCAAAATAAATAAATAAATAAAATAAATAATATCCTTATTCCACTCTTTCTTGGTTTAACAATTTTGGACACTAATTATTGTCTAACATAGTTTAGGCCGCTATCCTACTGTTTTAGTGCTAGATTATGAATAAATTTATCATTTTTAGCTGAAAGATAATGTTTTATGATAATTTAGTTTTCTGCATTTTCATCATAATGTACATAAGAAAATTAACGCGAACTTAGCAATAACTAACATTTATTTGGTCTTTCCTCTGTGCCAGGCACTCTTCTAATGCGGTTTTCATGCAGTATCGCATTTCATCTTTACAGAACCCCTAGGAAACGTAGGGACTATTATCATCTCCATTTTCTAGTTGAGGAAACTTCTTTTGGAGAGATTCTATGATTCTTTCCCCTTGGTCAAGCACCTAGTGGGTTATAGAGCCAGAAGTCGACATTTAAACATTGAGCTCTTCAACATTATCTTGTAATGCCATGTGGAGAGTCAGACTCTTGGCACTCATAGGTTTGTAGTTCTACTGTTAGCAAATAATCTGAAGGTTTACGCCACGTAGGTTTGCTGAGGTGCTGTTGGAATCTGTCTGAGGCAGACACAGGTTGGGGCCGTGGGGTGGTGGGTGAGGCAGTTGCAGACGCTTTTGCTGAGGGCGGTTCTTATCGTCTAATGGACCACACGTTCGCATGTGCTCAGTCTAGCGCGTGGGCACTCAGACTTGAGCTTGTGCCAGGATGGCCTGGTGGGCTTGGTAAAGCACTAATTCCTGGGCCTCACCTCTAGTTTCTGATTCAGCAGTCTGGGGTGGGGCCTGAGAATTTGCATTTCTAACAAGTTCCCAGGTGATGCTCATGCTGCAAGGGCCCAAACTGCTCTAATGCTGTGGTCCTCTTGGACGGCAGGGGCTTCTGTGTTGCCTTCTCTTGTTTTTCATTGTTTCGTGTCCGTTAGTCTTCTCCCACCACTGAGCTCGTTAGCTCCTGGAGAGCAGTTCAGTGACTGTGACTTAGATTTCTTTTTTAACCCCACCGACGCCAGGGTCATGTTGCTCATACAGTAGATAGTAATATGTGGATTGCTTGCTCTCCCATAGAGTGTTTTTGTAATTTTGACTTGTTCAATTATAAACTTTATAATATGTCATTATAATACATTCTTATTGTAAAAATCACCTTTCATAGCACCACCGCCCTAGGAAAAATTTTAGCAGGAAAGTAGAAGACCCTAAAGGATTTTCAGTGGCTTCTTAGACTATAGCTCGGCACTGAGGAACTTAGTCCTTGATTGGGGTGGTGTTGAGAAGTACGTAAATAAAGTGACTTGTAGCTGCTTTATCTGATTTTTAGTAGAGGCTCTTGCCTTTTATTGAGATCTTTACATTCTTTGAGATCTTTTTTTAAATCTTCTGTTTATACAGAGGTCAACCAGAATCAACATGTCTGGGACTGAGGAAGCAATTCTTGGACGCCGTGACAGCCATCCTTCTTCTGCTGGTGGCAGCTCTGTATTATGCTTTGGTCAGGTAACTGGTTGTTTCATACCTGGAAAGAATGAGGTCAAGTGAAAGAGGATGAGGAAGCAATTTGGGGAGCAGTGTTGCTCTTTCTTGTTAGTAGTTTTTTCCTTTAGATGCATTATTTGGGAGTCTTTAATGAACTCTGAGCGCATTTTGAAACTTTAACATCAAAAGACTAATAATACTGGCGATTACATTTACATTGACATTTTATTTATTTTTTGGATAGATTACATATTCATAGGATATAACATTCAAATTAGACAAAGACCCTGTGTGAAAAGTCTCACTATTTTGCCATCACCGCTGTCCATGGCTCACCCAGGTCTCTTTTTTGGAGGCATCCAACGTTCCTTGTGTCCTATTCTTTGTGGAGATATTGTATACATATAAGAGATTCTTGCTTTGTCCACCCAAATTCTGTCTTTGTCTTTGCTAGAGATCTGTTTGTGAGTATTTACTTTATTTGAATAGGGAAAAGGGAAAACTACCCGGGGACAAAAATCAAAACAAGCAGTCATGTGTTTATCTGTGAGTAGGATGGAAATGGCTGAGGTAAAGGAGAGTATAAACCTTTGGAGAGGACAGATGGGAGCAAGACTTCCTGTCACCTCTTCTCTCCCCACCTGCTTGCCTGCATAAACATCATATCCAGACTATGAGGTGAGAAGTTTTAGTTTCCCAATTCTGGCTTGAGAAATTGGTAAGGATGGTAGTAACATCTAAGGCAGAGGTTCTCAAAATGTAGTGCAGTGACCCCTGGGGGTCCACAAGACCTTCTCAGAGTCCGTGAGGTCAAAATGATTCTCATGATAATACCAAAATACTATTTGCCTTTTCCACTCTCATTCTCTCATGAGTAAGTGGAGTTTTCCAGAGACTACATAGTATGTGATGATATCATTGCTCTGATGACTAATGTAATGTGTGCCTTAAAAGTTTCTCAGTTTTCGGGGCCGGCCCCGTGGCTGAGTGGTTAAGTTCGCGAGCTCTGCTCCGGTGGCCCAGGGTTTCACTGGTTTGGATCCTGGGCGCGGACATGGCACCACTCGACAAGCCACGCTGAGGCGGCGTCCCACATGCCACAACTAGAAGGACCCACAACTAAAATAGACAGCTATGTACTGGGGGGATTTGGGGAGAAAAAGCAAAAAAACCCAGTTTTCTCAGTTTTAGTTCCTAATATTGATAGATATAATCTACCTCAGCAGAAGCTCTTAGGGTCCTCAGTACCTTTTTAATAGTGTAAAGGGGATTGGACACCAAAAATTTGGAGACTTGCTGATGTAAGGAATGGTGGAAATCTGAATTTAATTTTCCCTTTTTGGATTGTAGTACCAGTACACAGCAGAAGAGTACCAGGCCATCCAGAATGCTCTGAGGCAGAGGCTGGGCCCGGAATACATAAGTAGCCGCATGGCTGGAGGAGGCCAGAAGGTAGGAGAGTTTATATGCCTGAAAAGTACGTGCCCATATTGCTGGCTGCTTAGATGATCTTGCCGACTCCCACTCTGAGCCCTCATGGATTCAGAAGGTGTCTTGTTCATTGTTATTAGATGTTTCCTAGTGTCTTTGGGAGGGGATGGGCTCCAGCCGTCATTGTCATCTGAAGTGACCCAAGCATTGTCTTGAGACTCCCTCCCCTAAGACAGAACATTAGTTCTAACTGCCTCCTTCTGGAAGATCTTTGACATAAGTTCACTGAGAATTTCCCTGGAATGTTTAAGGGCAGTTTTGCCAAAATAGCTGGTAAGGAATAAATTAAGTAAATTTTGATCCATATTTAAATATGGCAAGGAATTTAACAAGCTTTTTTTCTTTAACTTTTTTTTTCCAGGTGTGTTACATTGAGGGTCACAGGGTAATTAATCTAGCCAATGAGATGTTTGGTTATAACGGCTGGGCGCACTCTATCACACAGCAGAATGTGGGTGAGTATGCCTCCTGGCAGTCGACTTCTTCGTTTCCCTTTGTTTGGCGTTGTCCGGTTTCTGATAAGGGCGCTTCATGGCTGAGGATGTGGGGAGCTGTCGTCGACTACCAGCAGGAGGAACGTGGGAGCCGTATCTTCTTCAGCTGGGTCTCTTTCCCACTCCTAGATTTTGTTGACCTTAACAACGGCAAGTTCTACGTGGGAGTCTGTGCATTTGTGAGAGTCCAGCTGAAGGTGAGGGTGATGGAGCAGACTGCTGCCTGCCAGGATCGGGGCTGGGGTGAGAGAGTGAGCAGGGAGGGAGTCTCTGGACTGTGGCACAGCCAAGCCAGAGAGCTGGATTCCAGAGCTGTGTCTCGGCCAGTGTTCCTTTGGTTGGGGTATTCAAACATCTTACTCACATGTCCCCTAAAGAATTTTGAAAAACTGTGCTCTTGCACATTTTAAAATTGACCCCTAGAAGTTTTCACCATAAATATAAATAGGTGCAAGGGTATATTTTTTGGCATATTGTAAAATTTGACATTCTAAAATACATCTGTTACATCTTTTTTAAATGTACCAATGGATTCTAAGTAACCATAGAGGATTAAATACTGTCATCCACTTAGAAAAATACATGAGCAAGCTATTCTTCAATCAGAAATTTTACATTGTTTCTTCTTGAGCTCGTATTTCCATTCCATTTCCCCGTTGGCTTTTATGCTAATATAATATATATTTATGATTGAAAAGCTTTTATTAATAACCTTATACTTCTCTGCCTGTGTGTGTGTGTGTGTGTGTGTATATGTGTATATGAAGATAATTTTGGTGGGTAAATTTCCAGTGACCTTAAGGCTCTAAATATGAAACAGTTTCTTCTGGATTGAGTTAGTATCATAGGTATTATTAACACACAATTGATTAGACAACATACTATATCAAAATTTTTATGCTTAATAAAAATAACATTTATGGAAGCTGCATTTCTTAATGAGGTGGGCGAAACTGTTCTTCTTTTCAGTAGATAGTTTATAATCCATAGTTTCATACTGCTCATTCCTAAACACTCAGCAGTAGTTCTATTCTGACTTCTTATTTTTATAAATAGTACTGAAAAACATTATTCACATAAATGAACTGGGAATGGAGAGAGTTTTGGTATGGTGTCCTTCATTTCTGTGAATACTCTCAGTTATATTTCAAAAATTACAGTGCTATCATCAAAAATTATGTTCTTTATCAGCTAACAACTTGATCAGGTCCACCTTCAGTTTTGGTGAAAGCCAAGAAATGGATACCACCTGACTTGCAAAAGGATTTGCTATTCAATCATTAGAGTCTGTTAAATGCAGTATTTCAAATTTTCCTTTTGTTTGGTGTCCCAGAGGTTTTTATACCTTGAGGTAATCCACCTTAGTAAGATTTGAGGTGGGTTAGATATGTGCCTTTTTTATGAAAAGAGGAGGTGAGAAAGGAGAATTGTCTGGACACTTTGACCACAGGCACATTTCCAGGCAGATCAGGTCTTGGAAATAGTACTGAAAATGGATTCTTTTACAACTCCTGTGCCCATGTGCCCTTTGACAAGTCCGCTGGGTTCTTTATGCCCACTCTGAACACTGCTGCCTGAGGAAAAGAAGAGTTATGGAGCCAGGGGTATGACTGCAGCTTTTCACGTAGGTTTTGAATTCCTTTTCTACCCCCAGGATGGCTCATATCATGAAGATGTGGGCTATGGTGTTAGTGAGGGCCTCAAGTCCAAAGCCTTGTCTTTGGAGAAGGCAAGGAAGGAGGCAGTGACAGATGGGCTGAAGCGAGCATTGAGGTAAGCAAAAAGGGTTGGAATCTAACCTGCTTCATTTCAGCTCTTATTTCAGAGGAGTCTCTTTTTTTTGAAAAGGTAATACATTCACATGATTCAAAAAGTCTTGCTCTCCCCTTGTCCCTGTCTGCCCTGTTTTTCTACTCTTTTCTATTTTCCAAGGTCTTCTTTATGCTTGGTCTCCCCTTTTTGGGAGTTTGTAATAGATTACTACATTTTCTATCCTGTACTTTGCCTTCCTCCCTCCTCTGCTCCTTACTGTCTCGGAGACCTTTCCCCATGAGTACGCAGACAGCTTCCTCATTCTCTTTAAGACACCTAAGCAGTTCTTCATCAGGTACATATAACATGGTTAGCTTAGTTCCATACAGCATGGTTTTTAACCTTTTTTTCAGGTCAGAGATGCCTTGGAGAATTGAAGTGAATTGAATCACCAGAAAAATACATGTATAAACATGTACTAAGAATTTGCAATACCATAACCTGAGGGGAGCCTGCATATCCCAAGTAAAGAACTTTAGGAGGATTGTGCCCCTCAGTGTGTGTAGCTCACTGTCTCTGGGGAATTGGAGCAGTCCAGAAAAAGTCTCTGCTCTGAAATGTTCGCTCCATGTCCGGAGGTGGCTAATGGGATTTGTGTAATGGGTTCTTAAGTCTTTTCCTACTCATTGCGGCTCCTAGAGGGCGGGGATTACTGACTGCTGTGCTCACTGCTGTGTTCTCAGAGCCCAGTACAGTCAGGGCCACGGCAGATGCTCAGTAAACGTTTTTGAATGAACATTAGTGTCCATTTCCTCTGCTGCAGTTGAGAAGCAACTTGCACAAAGGTGGTAACTCTGTTCTCTGATATTTACATGTAACAATTCTCAACCCTGTTTCATTTGTTTTTCTTACCCTTAGAAGTTTTGGGAATGCACTTGGAAATTGTATTCTGGACAAAGACTATCTGAGGTCACTACAAAAGCTTCCATGCCAGGTATGTTAGAAATGGATGAATGGAACGCATTGCAGTAAAACTAGAACTAATTCCCGTGTGTCACAGGTTGAATATTTGGGGATGGAGAGGGAAGTGAAGACTCAACTATTTAGAGGGTCTGGAATGTGTATTTCAGACTTGTTTGAATATTGGCGCTAGCATGAACCAATCGCCTTATTTTACAGATGAAGAATTTGAAGCCTACGGAATTTACGTTAACTTGTCTCCTGTATAGAGAGCAGTGTGGTTGGGAATGGTCTGTGAAACCTCGAAAGGAGCCCACAGTCCTCTGCCGCCTCGCTGTCATTTCTTAGCAGCAGTCAGAACGCCCCACCTGTTCAACCTTCTTGCTTTTCCTTAGCCCCCGTGTCTTTAAGGTTCGGATCTTCCTTGTTTCTGTCAAGGCCTGTCACGCGATCTGAGTGTTGGGTTTTGGAGAATAGGGCCTGGACTTGAGCATCGCTGGAGGCACAGTTGACCTGGGCTGAGTCTGGCTCTAGAGTGTTCCCTTTGCCTGCTGGAGTGTGGCTGCGTCCTCTGTGGCATTCTCCGACATCCCTGCAGTGCTGCAGTCCCTATCTTGTCCTTGAGGGGTTCTTTTTCTTGTGGAGCTCCTAATTGAGGTGTCTGTCAGTTGGCATCTGTCAAAACTCCATTTCTTTCCTTTTTAAAGGCGTTTTTATACATTATTGGACTCAGTTTGCTAATATTTTGTTACGGGTGTTTGCTTCTATGTTTATAAGGGATATTAGTTGGTTTTCTCTTTTTTATTGTGGTAAAAGACACATAACCTAAAATTTACCATTTTAACCATTTTTATTTTTTTTTAAAGATTAGCACTTGAACTAACATCTGTTACCAATCTTCTTCTTCCTTTTTTCTTCTCCCCAAAGCCCCCCAGTACATAGTTGCATATTTTAGTTGTGAGTGCCTCTGGTTGTCCTATGTGGGATGCCGCCTCAGCACGGCCTGATGAGCGGTGCCATGTCCGAGCTCCCCAGAATTTGAACCGGTGAAACCCTGGGCTGCTGAAGCGGAGCGCGTGAACTTAACAACTTGGCCACAGGGCCGGCCCCCATTTTAACCATTTTTAAGTGCACAGTTTAGTAGTGAAACAGACCTCCAGAACTTTTATCTTGCAATACTGAAACTCTATACCTGTAAAACGACTCCCCTGTTCCCCCTTTCAGCTGCTGGTAACCACCATCCTACTTTGTTTCTATGCATTTCACTACTCTAGGTACCTCACATAAGCGGAATCATAGTTTTTGTCTTTTTTGTGACTGGCTAATTCCACTTAGCATAATGTCCTCAAGGTTTATGTCCATTGTAGCATGTGTCAAAATTTCCTTCCTTTTTAAGGCTGAATAATATTCTATTGTATGCATCTACTGCATTTTCCTTATCCGTTCGTCCACCGATGGGCATCTGGGTGGGTTCCCTCCCTTGGCTGTCGTGAATAGTGCTATTGTGAACGTGAATGTGCACGCACCTCTTCAAGACCCTGCTTTCAATTATTTTGGATATATATCCAGAAGTGGGGTTGCTGGATTATATGGTAGTTGTATTTTTTACTTTTTGAGGAACTTCCATACTGTGTTCTATAACGGATGCACCATTTTGCAGTTCAACCAATAGTGCACAAGAGTTCCAATTTCTCCACATCCTTGCCAACAATTGTTATTTTCTATTTTTTGATAGTAGCAATCCTGATGGGTGTGAGGTGATATCGTATTGTGATTTTGATTTGCATTTCTCTGATGGTTAGTGATGCTGAGCATCTTTTCATATGTTTTGGCCATTTGTATATTGTCTTTGGAGAAATGTCTATTCAAGTCTCTTGCTCCTTTTTTAGTGGGGCTATTTGATTTTTTATTGTTGAGTTGTAGGAGTTTATCTTGGGAATTATTGGGTCAGGTCAGAGGTAAGCATATGCTTAATTTTGTAGATTCTTACAGTTTTCTAGTATGGTTGTACTAATCCACACTCCAATGGAGCAGTCTATGAGAGTTCCAATTGTTCCATATCCTTGACAGTACTTAGCCTTGTCAGTCTTGCTCATTTTTTTCCCCACTGTTGCTCCCATCTCCCTACAGCCACTGGCAACCACAGTTCTACTTTCTGTCTCTCTGATTTTGACCACTCTCAGTACCTCATATAAACGGCATCATACATATTTATTCCTTTGTGACTGGCCTTTTTCTCTTAGCATAATCAAGGTTCATTCATGTTGTAGCATAAGCTCATTTCTTTTTAACCGTCTCATTTATTTTCTAATATAGATAAATTTCATAGTGTAATTTTCATTTTCAGGTTATCTTTATCAAAATAGTCATTTAAATCCTTCATATTCAGTTATTCTGTCAGTACCAATATTATGAATTGAGAACGAAGTTTTCCCAAATGAAAATGTCTGGTTTTTGTAGTGCTCGTGGCCTGGAAGTAACACAGTTTCCTTTATGCCAGGAAGCACACGATCATGACTTCTCACATTTGGTGACATGCAGGAATGATCCCAAGTTGGGAGACTTCTCGCAGCTTTGGCCTGCTGCCTATGTCAGTGCTTTCCCAGTTGTCGTCTTCCTGTCGTTTCAAGGACACATTCTTGTGCCACAGCATACCTGAGGCTTCTTCAGTGAGGAGTGTCGTATCTGCAGGGCAAGTCCTGTAGAAAGAACAGAGGTGTAGGCCTCCACAAACACTGTGTGTGGCCGTTTCCACAGAAGAGAGAAAAGGTAGACAGCGTCAGACAGATCCAGTTGCCAAGGAAAGATTCAAATTAGATTTGACAGACCATTTGCCCTACATCAAAACTAAAGTAAGATTCCTTTTTCTGAAAACTTGATTAATACAGAGTGGTATAAAGTAGAAAATGAAATTGTTTTACTCCTCATGTAATTACAAATATTATTTGAAGTTGTGGATCCTTTGTCTCAGCTTCTCAGGACCTAGGAGGAATGATGCATAGAGGATTGTCAAATGGCATTTTTCAGGAATCTTTAAGGCGGGGAGAAGAAAGGAAGGGGAGGAGCAGTTGGAGGACGTTATTCTCCCCCTCCTCTTTCTTCCCTTATTAGTTGCCTCTTGAAGTGGATTTAACTAAAGCAAAGAGACAAGATTTTGAACCATCTGTGGAACATGCGAGATACAGCAGCTACCGACAGAACAAGGCTCTGGGACCCCCAGGACCACAGGAGGTGACCTCCCCTTGCAGAACAAACCACTCAGATGATCTCCACGTTGTGATCCGGGGAGATGAAGACAGCAGATCCCGGTATGGGCCTGAGTTCCCTCCCTTTCCTCTGCTCCTCATGTGGTCTAAGTCACCTCCATTTCTACCTTCAGAGCCAGCAAGTTGGTTCACGCGCTCCCTCAGGAGCCGTGTATTGTCACTTACGCAGTTAACTCGGGAACTCACTGCGCCTTGTGCTCCTCTGATGCAGAAGCCTGGCCTCTGCTGTGGAGAGGGACGCCACATACCAGCGCAAGCTCCGGCAAAAACAGTTGCAGCAGCAGTTCCGGGAGCAAATGGAGAAACAGCAGCAAGTTCAGCTACCTGCTCCCTCAGTTGAAAAGAAGGATGAGGGTGTGTGAGAAGGACGGGAGCAGAGGCTCTGGGGAGGGCGCTCTGGAGCAGGAAGACTAGTCACACAGGAACCTGATCCTCTGCCAGTTAGGTCCCAACCGGCTCTCAGTAGGACTCTCTCCAGTTACACACAGGGTAGATGAGTCTAAGAAATTAAGATAGTGAAATCTTGCCAGGTATTTCCCCATGTCTAAAGACAGTGATCTTTTTTGGGGGGAAGGCAATGGGCCTTGACATAATCTGGAACTAGAAATTTCAGGGTACAGAATTTCTTTTGCTTCAGTTACTTTGGCTATCTCTGCATTAGAAAGTCTTTCTGGGTTATCCTTGAATATAATGCAGAACTGGGTTTGAAGATAATGGGGGCTTGGGGCAATTATTTATCCATGAACTTTAGTTTGTAGGCATACCTCAGAGATACTGCGGGTTTCGTTCTAGACCATTGCAATAAGGTGCATATTTGCAATAAAGCAAGTCACACAACTTTTTTGGTTTCCCAGTGCATATGAAAGTTATACTTACACTGTACTGTCATCTGTTAAGTGTGCAATAGCATTATGTCTAAAAAAATAATGTACATACCTTAATTTAAAAATACTTTATTGCTAAAAAATGCTACCCATCATCTGAACCTTCAGGGAGCGAGTCAGAATATTTTTGCTTGTGGAGGGTCTTGTCAAAAAATTCGGTATCTGTGAAGTGCAGTGAAGCGAAGCACAATAAAATGAGGCATGCCTGTATTTCAGAGTCTAGATTCGGTGGGAGAAATAGATACATATTTTTTTTGGAGTCTTTCCCAGAGAGTAGAAACAAATGGCTTGTCCCAAACCAGCTGGACTTTTGCCCACCTTCTCCTTAAGAATTCTGAAGAAGATTCAGAGGACTTGCCTCATGCTCCGTTCATTAATATTCCCCTCAGTACTGACAGACTGAAATTAATGTAGGAAAAACCCAAAACAACTTACTCTGCTGGGAATGTTGTAGATCTTTAGCTTCAAAATCACTGCAGAGGCTCCTGGAGGGTGAGGGATAGAGTGTGTTCTCCAGGACTTTCCCCCACCCCTAATCAGACAACCAGAGTCACTGTTGATACTGGTTTTACAGTCGTCCCCCTCATCTGCAGGAGCTGTCCCAAGATCCCCAGTGGATGCCTGAACCGGTGGCTAGTACTGAACCTTACAGATACTATGTTTATTCCTGTACATACGCACCTATGATAAAGTTTAGTTTATAAATTAGGCACAGTAAGAGATTAACAATAACCAATAAACAGAACAATTATAATATATTGTAGTAAAAGTTAGTTATGTGCATGTGGTCTCTCTCTCAAAATCCCTTGTACTGTGCTCACTCTTCCTGTGATGTGGGATGAGACAGCGCCTGCGTGGTGAGATGGCGTGAGATGAACGATGTAGGCGTCTGACGTACCAATGAGCTACTACTGACCTTCTGGCCATACGTCAGAAGGAAGATCCCTGAGCCATGACGATGTTGATGGCTGGGGAGCCAACAAGGGGACGATTCACATCCTCGGATAGAGGAAGCCAGACCGTGCGGGGTTTCATCACACTACTCAGAATGGCATGCAACTTAAAACTTAGGAATTGTTAATTTCTGGGATTTTCCATGTAACATGTCAGACTGGTTGACCATGGGTAACTAAAATTGTAGACAAGGAGGAACTACTGTACATATTGAATTTCTGCTTAAGATTTTGTTTGAACAAGGGTTATAAGCTTTAAAAAGTAAAAACTGGACCAGGTGGCTTCTAATAACCCTCTTTTTGCTGCTAAAGGAGAAATAAACTTGTTTTTCTTCCCAATTTGGTGAGAAGAACGAAGAATACAGTATTTCTAACTTCAGAGAGATCTGTAGGTAGGACTGGGACTCAGGAATCTTGAGTTCCACTACTGGCTGTGCTAGGAACCAGTGTAACTCTAGGCAGCTTTGCACCTCTGAGGCTGTTCCCTCCGTCACCTGATTCTCTGATTTTGTCTTTCGTCTTGTGTGAACTGTAGCGGCGCTGCCGGTGCCTCCTTTGAAGCACAGCACTCCTGTAGCTGCGGTTTCAGAGCCACTCACTGAGGACCTCCTTGCAGGTCAGCAGGGGCTAAAGGAATGACTGAAGTCTTGATCAGTACCTCGGAAGCGTGTGGATGCTACTGGGCTGTATACTTTTGTTAGTCATAAATACACCATAAGAGAGGCATAAAAATCCTCATTTCTATCCATGTTAGAGCCACAGGAAGTTTTAGGAAAAAAGGGGACCCAAAATGGACTGATGGCAGTTCTGACTGATAGCACGTGTTCAGCTCCTCTATTGTCCTAACCTAAGAGAAGCCTCAGTGTACTTTCAGGGCTGGGGGAAGAAGAAATTCCAGAAACATCATAGGGTACTTGCGATGTGAAATGTGTTAGGACCTAGTTTCCCACAACTTTATGTGAGAACACTTGTTAGTTGATGCTACATTTTCCTGTGATCTCAGCCCTTGCAGACAATCTTGAAATGTGGGATATGGCTCCAGAAGCAGGGGACAGTGTTGTCAAGCCCTTGGCTAAACCAGAACCACCCCAAACTGCTGCCACACCAGTCCCGAAGAATCAGATGGTGACCCGAAGCAGGACCCCACAAAGCCTTTGCCATGAGAATCCACGAGTAAAACCTGGACCCTGGCACCTCCAAGCTCACAATGTTAACCAACACACAACAGGTAGCAACTGTTTTAGGAATGAAAATTGAAGGGAGAACCTGGGTTTAATTCTATGAATTCTAAAGGACGAATGACATTTGAATTTAAGAAGTTGGATAGAATCATGCCAGAGGAATAGAAGTGTAAGAAAATGGAAGATAAGGGGCTGGCCCGGTGGCGTAGCGGTTAAGCGTGCACGTTCTGCTTTGGTGGCCTGGGGTTTGCCGGTGGGATATGGCACCACTTGGCAAGCCATGCTGTGGTAGGTGTCCCACATATAAAGTAGAGGAAGATGGGCATGGATGTGGGCTCAGGGCCAGTCTTCCTCAGCAAAAAGAGCAGGATTGGCAGCAGATGTTAGCTCAGGGCTAATCTTCCTCAAAAAAAAAAAAAAAGAAAGAAAGAACGAACATGGAAGATAATTGGTTTAAGAGTGAGAACTTTCCCTTTGGGGTCCTGACTTGGGCTGTAACCCTTTTAGCTGTTGATTGTAGTAGGAAGCTTGAGCATGACTGCATGAAGAGCTTCCGCTATTAAAAGTAGGCCCCTCGTGATTATTACTGCACTTGGTCTAGTGTTAACAGAGGATCTGTCCTCCTTCTATCAATCAATTGTCATTCTTGGGTTTTAGTTTAAATTAGGTTAACAGCTGCCAGTTTATTCAGTATTTTAAAATAAATATAACCATTTTTTCTTTCCACAGCAAACTCTGATTCCCATAAGCAGAACCAGGACATGAAGAAAAGGAAACTGGATCCATCTTAACTGAGGCTCAGGTCCCATCATTGGACTGTCACAAAGGGACTTTCAAAAACCCCTTTTTGGTCATGAAATAATTCTTCATCATTCCTAGGGGATGAACTTTATTTCCAAGGGTTTACCTTGCTTCATTCTGAACTCCACCAGAGGATTTGCCTGTTGGAACTGCAGATGCAGCTGAGCAGCTGGAAAACAAGCTCTTAAAAAAGCTAGTCACACACTGCAGTGGGGAGGCTCCAGGGAGATCACATACCTTTTCTTTGGCTCTTGAGGCTCTTCACTATTTATTTATTCCTAAACTATTATGTTAATAAAGAGAGAAATTTTAGGAATCACCTGTGGCTGCCTGCTCTCAAGCAATATAAGCCATACTACTAAGCACCAACTTTAACAACAGCCCACATTAAATTATTGTGAGTAATCTCTGTCTTCGTTCACTTTTGGGCTCATGTTTTTAACGTTGCTTACATGAGTGCTGTGAACAAAGGCTATAGTGGTATTTTACTACTTTGCATCAGTCCAGGCTACAATCTTCATCTGTGGTAATCTGTCATTTACAGGTCTGTGTCACTATCCTGCATTTTTTCCTAATCAAGGAAAGAATTATCTCACATGAAAGAAAAGGCATTTGAAGAAAGCAAAATAAATCCTTTACTTTACTTTGTAACCAAATAGAAAATATAAGTAGCTGTTTATATTTCCCCATTTCAGATGTGAGATATAACCCACCTTAACATAAATTATTTTTTCATTGTGTTCAGATGTTTCATAATTCCTTCTCCCAAATAATGAGTTTGCAATTTTACTTGTTAAGATGGATTTTGGGTCGTGCCTTTTATCTAATCATGAAACAGTGGCTTTTATCATTTTCTGGATCACAGGCCCATCTGTGGGAAGCTGTGATCCCGAGGCAGGTCCTAGCCGATGCTAAAGGGACTGGCACTGAAGTGCAGCAAGGCAGTCAGCCTTTCTGTTCCTTTGGAAGATGAATGGCAGGAGCTAACCCTCATCGCCCTTTTACCTTATCTGTTGTTGCATGGATTTGGCCATATATTCATCTTTTGATTTTGATATCCTTACCATTTTCTTCAGAAAAAATATCATCTTCCTTGTCTGCAGCATAATCTTAGTTCAGGTCAGAAGTGCCACTAAAAATAGTTCCTGGAATTGGGAATCTAGTTATAAATTGCACACAACTCAAAACAGCTAATGAGATCATGAAAAAGGAATTTGCTAGAAATGAAACCTCACAGCTCAACAAAAGCAAGTTTGGTTTATTTGAATGGTTTCATTAAATAAGTCTACAAAGGTAACAAACTGAAGCATAAGCGCAATCTTACAAGAAGCGCAACACCCAGAGTTAGTGCAAAATGTACAATTCACGGCTGCTGAGGAACCCCCAAGGTTTGAATTCAGTTTATTTGTTTTTTTAAACAGTGTACACTGTTAAATAATGTAAGGAAAACATTTATAATTCAGAAAGATTTTTTTTAATGTGGAAAAAGATACTCAAAGTGTACTATTAACACAAAAATAATTTAAACAGTTCAGTAGCACTAGTTCATTTCTCTAGGCTTCAGTTATTTCATCCACAGGAGGGGAAAAAAAGATCAACAGTAAATAAAACCAGTTCTTACTTTTTGTGTGTGAGTGAAGAGACCTCAAAATTATATTAAACCAAAATAAAACAATAATGTACTGCATTTGGTTCCCTCGTTCCTCTTGCAGAAAATATTGTTTCATTCGTCTCGGGTGGTCCATTTCTCATTTACTTGGCACCTTCTTTGTTCTATCCTTACTCTTACCATCTCCCCAAGAATTATAAGCAGAGAATAAATACGTAAACAATTTTGAAGCAGAGCTTGGAACCCCTGCCCTTTTTTTCCCTACCTTCTTAAAACCTTCCACTTTCATTTGCATTTTTGGGACCTAGGCTGACAAAGAAAACAGGGCCCATGAAGGAATGATGTCAGATAGGATAGCCAGCCTGGCTCTTCATATTGTGTTGATTCCTGGGACGTGCCGTTGAGGTGGGTAACAGGTCGGAAATATGTCAATTTCCCAACTCCAGAGTCAAGAGAAGCACCACCCAAAAAATGAAGGGTCCTAGCGTCTTTCCCCATCTTCAGAGATAAAAGGAGATCCCAAACATAGCCAATTAGTAGAGTATTTCCTGAAAGCTCTGAAAATAACAGAACTGCCAACGAGGCATTGCAACTAAATAATACTGGTTGGTTGCAGTTATTACTTAAGGGGAATATTTGTTTATATGAAAATGTGAGATCACTTGCAATTCTAGAAATAAAGGTGGCACAATAGATTATGATTCTGCAACCATCTGGACATCATATAGGAAAAAGGAGGAATCAGCGTTCTTTTCTACAATGCCTAATTTAGGTGTGGGTCCACTTTCCACAAAATATTGTACCCCAAGCTGAGAAATGGATTTGCAACAAGAGGAAAGCAATCCAAACAGTTTTTCTTAGAGCAACTTTCTCCATCTGTGACTTTTCCCAATCATGTTTCCCAACTTAAAAACTAGCCCCCAACCCCCTTCCCTTTATAATGAGCCATTTCTTCTAGGTCTCCTCTGTTCAAGCCCAGCTCGAGTAAGTAAGGCTTATGGCATCCACTGGCCAGGCATCACATATCTTCCAAACAAGCTTGTTCTCCCACTCTTTACTCTTTCTTTTTCCTTTACTTATCACACACTACCCTTAATCTTTTAAATTGCCCAATTTTATTACAACATCCCGCCTCACTGTTCCTGAAACAGAACTTTCTGCTTTCAACCACTGATGTCAACTTAACTTCTCACCCTGTTCATCTTACACCTGCTCTAGACAAAATTGTTGAATAACTTAAAAAAAAATACTCTTTCAATTTCCCTTTGGCATAGTCTACTGCTGGGGTCAACTGGACCTTAGGTTTTCTTCCATATGCCCTTTGCTGATGTGGGGTCTGATAAGTTGATGCTACCGGCAGAAGCAATAGAAGTCCAAGGCACTAAAATATCCAGCAAGCAATACTGGGAAAACAGAAGTCTTCAAGTACAGTAATTTATACAATTTTACATTCACATTTATTTATCTAATACAATGGAAATACAAAGGAAAAAGTTAAAGTGTCTCAATAAGTAAAGGACAGAGCTAGCTTTTTTTCAACTTTTTAAACCTTTCATATTTTACTCTTAAAACTACTGTTGTCCAACAACATTTATATATCACAGTGTTTCCACATCAAAACTGATGGCAAAGTTACATGTCCGCAGGGAACTTATTTTTTTTTCCTAATTGCTAATGCTGCAGTCCAAGCTGCTATTATCATTTGCTGAAAGCACTAATGACCTATAATAAGAAAGGGTTGAAACCTCAGTCCCCTGGTGTTTTTCACTGGGTTCTAAAGAGAACAAAAAGAAGAAAAAAAAAAAAAAGAAAGGAAAAAAAAAAAAAAGGAAGGGTGGGGACAGAGTAGGAGAGAGCCCCAAAGTGTTTTTTTTTGTCTTGTGGCTTAGATTCTTGAGGGAATGAGGGATTCGCAGTGGGTACCAAGATTAAGAGCTCCACCCACTTGAAAGTACAGACGGGGTGTGGTTTTCCATGGAGCTCTCCAGTAGCTTTCTGATAGACACAATTCCCTTTCCCAGCCCTCACTGTTACACATAAGCAGGAAAGCATAGTTTGAAGCTGCCCCATCACAAGAAAGCTGCTCTTTCCTTCCCACTCCAATAAATGGTGAAGGTGGAGGGAGATTCTCCATTCTGAGGGCTCTAAGCGGTATTAAAAACATTCCTTTCTGGCAAGAAATTACCAGTTAAATGCAGCACTAGTAGTTAGTATATAGGCTACTTTCCAATCCCCCGTCCCACCCACACTCAGCATTCCATCTCCTTCCCCCAAATATACTCAGTTAATGTCTCTAGGTCTAAGTGGTCCGCAGGTTGGAACCTGGGGGGTTGCTGATAGATTTCTGCAAATTGCTGATGTTGAAATTCTGTAAGGAGGCAGTTCCCACAGGCTGGAACTGGCCAAGTGGCTGTGGTGCTGGGCCACCCGTTCCACTCCACTGAGTGCCAAAGGGGGGGGCTGGAAAACCATACTGCTGTGGGGGGCACATAGACTTGGTGAAGTGACCTAGAGAGGTAGCTGATGCTGCAGAGATGGGGGCAGAGCCACCCAAGTTTGAGGTCATGGAGATGCACAGCTGACCAGGTGCAGAGAACTTCCTTGCCATTCCAGGGCCCTGAAAACAAAACGACTATACGTAAAGTCTGGTGTGGGTATAACACCCAAGGATGTGAAAGGAGTGGTACTAAAATATAATTCTGGAACTGGGACTGTTCTCATCTTACAGGGTATAGTGAAACAAAAACCAAAACAAAACCCTTCATGCTAATTATTGACTCTTTCCACTTACCAAACGGGGGTGAGAGTATCTACTCTGACTGGAAATGGGCAGAATCATGTGTATGTGCATGCATGGGCATGCAGTTCAGGATGGTGACGGAAGAGAGAAGAAAAAACTGAGTTGACAGATAGGGAGCTAGGGATTCATGGAAGGAAAAATGAAAGTGTACCTGGGTGATTTTTGTCTTGTTTTCTCAAAGTGTTAAAATTCATGAGGTACTAAAGACGGTCATGGCATGAAATGTTAAGCACTAGCCTAGGTAGTTTCTATTGTCTCCGATTCAGATATGTGCTGAGTGATACTCTGATAAACTAGGAACATGGCAAAAGGGAAGACTCACCTCATAATTCATGTGTCCTTTGCTTCCTCTCCTGCCCGAAAGATTCATGGCATCTCGGGCCCAATTATCTACCAACTTGTGCAGGTCATCTGTGAATGTGCCCTTCCTGCTGGACGTCATGGCAGGAGGCTGAGCTTGGGCAGCCTGGCTGTTTACCGTGCCCCCCACGGTATTTGTGCTGCTGGTCCCTAGAGTTAGAAGAAGCAACAGAATACAATCCATTAAAAAGAGGTTGGGTAATAATTTTAAGAGGAGGAAAAACTTCACAGGATGATGAATGGCAAGCCAGAATGGGGAGAGGATGAACTGGGAAGCCATGCAAGAAAGGAAGGTTCCAAGGTTTTATTTAACCAAATGTTTTGGCCTAACAGGGTAATGAAAACAGATTCTCTTCAGGAGCTACAGATGAGGCTAAACAACTCAGGATGATGGTAGGCACAAAAGGCAGGGACCTCTTTCAGCCCATTCACATGGTAACTGAGAGTACTGAAACTTACTGCCAGTACTCTATTCCCAGCATCACATTGATGAGGGAGGTGGAGCATGGTCAACGAGCCTAGTTGCTCTAGAATATTGCAGAATGCAGGGCAAAAGAAGAGGATTTCTTGAGCATTGAGGCAGGGTTAAAGGAATGCAAAGACAGGTGCTTGGCCCACGAAAAGACGGGGTTCCCAATCCATGTGGACACTGCCACAGTTTTTAGCCATTCTTTAATAGGAAGAAGTAATAAGAGAAATAGCACTCTTTTTTCCAAAAACTTTTTCACCTGGACCCATAAACACAAATTGGTAAACATAAATCTGGGAGGAATTAAGGCTTCAACCTCTCCCAATTTCCCATGAGTAAAGAACCAAGATTACCCACAAGGAAGGTTCTCTATGGTGTGCCTGAATCTTTCAACTCCAGGAAGACATGGTTTTCCTGAAGATGACCCCAGTTTCAATTGGTTCCAGGATTCTCACCCCCTTTCCCCTCTCTTCCCAGAAGAGCAAGCACTTTCCTGTGGAAGCAACAGGAACATTCAGCTGAGGTAGGGGTGCAAAGGGCAGGAGGAAGCTTTGAGGTTATGATGAAGGAATTCTATTTCTATGGTTTGATGAGAAAGAAAGGAGTCTGTGTCCTGCCTGATTTCGGCTCTGCTGGAGGGCACACTGAAGATTATTCGAAGAGGCAAGTTTTAGGGAAGAGGGAAAGAAGAGTCACGGTCTTGTTTTTTTCCCTCACCCCCCATTTTCTTACCAGATCTCACATTTGCTGCAGAATAAATAAAAGCTACTAAAGTAAGCTGTGAGCCAGTAGGACTTAAGATATCCAAGTAAGGCTGGGGGCCAACTAAATAAATGCATACATTTTCCTGTTTTCAAGGTCAAAGCAGCACCAGAGCACAGCAACACACCTGAAGCAACTCTGCCATTTAAAAATTCTTTATAATCCATCACTGGTCTCAAGTCAAGTTTATAACCTACCACCCAGGGAACGGCACACACAAGCATGTCTGTGCTAGAATGACAGCTAATTCTGAGGTGAAGCTGCAGAGTGAGCGAAGTCACATGCTTCTTACCACCACGGCAAGACATGGAACTACTGCACTGTGTGTATTAGCTCACTTCTTAGTGCCCGCTGGAGCCACTAGGGGATTGCTGTTGCACATACAGTGTAAAGAAGAGTTAAGTTCCCCTAGAGGACAGGAAACCCAAGTGGAAAATTATAAAAGCACAGGAAACAGCCTTCCTCGAATAGCAAGAGTGAGACAGTAGTGGAGTGGGAGGCACAGGCAAAAGGACGGCAGTCATAATAATGATGACATCCAGAACAAGCGTATCACATGCATGAGGACTGTTGTCCTGTTTGAATGATTATTGCTTGGTGAGCTTGATGATGAGTGAGACAATCAAAACAAAAACCGGAAACAATCACAAGTGAGCAGAGCGGTCAAAAGCCAAATACAAGCAGCTTAGTCGAGGTGAACACTGCTTATTCACAAAGAGCTCATGCTGGGAGTCACACCTCTCTAGTCTCCTCCTGGTCACCTTTGATGCTGTGAGGCCCCTTTATAACCAAATTTCACTTTTCATTTGAATATATATTATACAATACTGCATTCTCAAAGTGG